TAAAAATTGATCTAGAAAAAGCTTTCGACAAGCTAAAATAGTACTTTATCTATAGAATTTAAAGTTCTTCAAATTCCCTCCAGGCCTTACCTCCCTTATCTTAAATTGCATTACCACTAGTAATATCTTTATTCTTGTTAATGGAAATAAATCAGAATTTTTTTATCCATCTAGAGGAATTAGGCGAGGAGACCCTATGTCACCTTACCTCTTAACCTTTGTATGGACATGCTTTAAAAAATTATTAACAATCATGTGGACACAAGAAGGTGGGATCCTGTTAAAATAAATCACACCGGCCCGCATCTTTCCCATCTTTTCGTCGCAGATAACCTATCCCTAATGGGGCAGGCAAATAATAAAACAATGCTTACCATACAATAATGTTTGGACAACTTCTGTCAGGGCACAACATCAATAATAGTAAATCAAAGATTTTGGTTTCAAAAATTGTCCTGAACATATTAAAAAAAATCTCACAAACTTCTTCGAAATAAAGATTAGTAACTCTTTCGGAATGTACCTCGGATTTCCTATAACTCCTAACAAGCCTAAAGCAAAAGACTAATATTTTTTCATAGATAGAATGAGGTCAAAATTAAATAATTGGAACGCAAAGTGGCTCAGCATGGCTGGGAGAAGTTCCCTAGCCTCATCCATTCTCAACACTCTCCCTAACTATGTAATGCAATTATCCCTTCTCCGCGCAAAAATTCTTAAGACTATTGACAAAATTCAAAGAGATTTTATATGGGGTAGTACAGTAGAAAAAAAAAAAGAAAAATGCATCTTATAAATTGGGATACTATTACCAAACCTAAGGAGCATGGACGCCTTGGCATCAGAAAAGCTAAGTCTAAAAATATGGCCATTTTAACTAGCCTAGCTTGGAGAGCTCTTAATAACCCATCCCCCCTATGGGCAAAAGTTTTGACTTATAAATATTGTAACAACGGTATTAAGAATACAAACTCCCACACTTGGAATAGTCTTTTAACATGATGGACTTAGTGTATTAAAGGTATCCGGTGGATGGTTGACAAAAATTCCGTTCACAACATATGGAGTAGTAACTGGATTCCAAGGGTCAATTATCTTAGGAACCATATAATAGGTCCTCTAAATAAAGGGGATTCCTGTTTAAGAATAAGAGACATTGGCGGAACTGGAGAATGGAACTTAGGGAAAATCTCCATAGAAATACCTAAGGAGATCACCAATCTCATAAAAACAGTGGATCTAACAACCAACCAAAACGATAACTATCCATTGTGGACCCTTAATAACAGTGGTATCTTCATAATGAGCTCTTGTTACAACCTAAAAGAAAATGAGCCTAAGATCAAGAACTTCAATTGGATTTGAAAATTTAAGTGATAAAATAAAATAAAATTCTTCATATGGAAATGCTATCATGATAGAATCTCGACGCGTGATTACATGTATAAGTGTGAAATAAATATAGACCCGACTTGTCCCTTTTGTAAAAGTTCTATCGAATCCATAGCCCACATCTTTTTGGATTGCTATATAGCAAAATCCTTATGGGAATTAATGGGATGGAAACCAACAACCAATATTGGAAATACTCACCGGATAGATTTCTTAAAAGGTGCAAACATATCCATCCACAATCAACATACAACTTGGGAAGATTTATTTCCTTATACTCTTTGGATCATTTGGAATAATAGGAATTTCAACAATCCAAACAACACTACCAATAATATTAACCCCAAAAATACTATTAAGCTAGCATTAGAGTTTAAATTATTGGCCACCAATCCAACTGCTTTTACGATTAAAAAAAATTTAGCATAAGTTGGTATCCGGCCCAAAAAGGATGGTATAAGATAAATATTGATGGTGCTTTCAACGATACATGCTTACTATGAGGCATGGGTGCAGTTATTCGAAACTTCAAAGGAGAATGGATCACCGGCTACCACAACAAATTACATGCACTAACTCCATTGCAAATAGAACTTCAAGCTCTACAATAATATTGCATGAGAACCTACTGCCAGTCGAAATAGAGACGGATGCAACAAACGTAATGCACGTGCTTGATACAAATTGCCCTACTTACGCAAATTTAATGTCACAACGCAGGTGGTTAATGGAGCAAGCAATGAGGAAGGGGGAAGTCGTGCTGAAGCATAATTTTCGTGAAGGAAACATGGTGCCGCATATTTTGTCCAAGGAAACACTTAATCAGACCAGCATAAATAAATTATGTGTTTTTGCCAGACCTCCGAACTATGTGGTAGATGCCTACCACAAAGATCAGGAGAGGTTCCGTTATGTAAGAAATATCTCTACTAGTGTTTGTTGTAAGCTGGCTACTTTAGGTAATGAAAATGCCCAACGAGGCATCAATGTAGCCCAATGTGGCAGTAATGAAGACAATGGCGCACTAGCACAGGCTGTTACTTTTTTATATATTAAAACCCCTTTTCAGTTTAAAAAAAAAAAAGATGTTGTGAAAAAAGATAGAAGGAAAGGAGATGTAATTCAGGCCTTGAAATGTTTAAAAGGTGAAAACATATAGGTTCCACCTTAATTCAATTAGTATTTATTTTCTTATTTTCTCGTGAGATCAATTCTTATCAAAGTGAACTTCTATTTTCTCTCTAATTCATCTTATTTTGATTGGAAATAAAATTTAAAAATATAAGAATTTGAATTTTGTAGTTTTGAATTAAATGTCAAGAGTATTATTAAAAATATCCTTTGAATCTTGTAATATTAAATAATATTATAAGAATTGACCCAAATAGCCGATCACCCAACCACTTAAACTAAAAACAGTCAATGAATGTATAATATATGCATAAATTATGTATTACATGTGTATAATTATGTATAATCAATGTATAACTTATGTATATGACTAGAAATGTAAATATTAAATATGGCCGACTATTTGTGTAAATATGGCTTATTTTTATTAGGAAAATATTCTTTTTGAATCGGAATAAAAATGAAAGTAAAACATATAAATTGAATTGACGGTTGTAAAAAATATGTTGCTACTCCCTCTGTTCACTTTTACTTGACTTTGTACATCCTTTAAAAAATAATAAATAAAATGTATAATTTACCATGATACCCATATTAATTGATGCTTATTTAATGAATTTGAGAAAATAATTTGAAAATGGGTAATTAATACTGTAAATATAATAGAAAAAAAAAATTATCTTCACTTAAAGTAAAAATGAAAATCTATTTTTAAAATATTGAACAATCAAAAGTGAGGGGAAGAAGTATTTGTTATATTAGTACTATAAAGAGAAAATAGAAAGATGAAGTGTTGCACCACGAACAAGTCAACACGTGCAGCCAGAAAGGGGTGCCCGACAAGCCCAACCGCTCGGACTAAAAATGAAAGGGGTTTTTACATTCCTATACCATATAGGAAATCTTATTACCCTCAATGTTTAAGGTTTGATATAATTACATTTAGTGTACCAAATTATCAATTCTATACCATAGTGTATTTTAAGAGTACAATTAATGCAGCATATATCCCTCCTTAATTCAAGGTACCAAAAATGGGCCATTTTTTTTTTGTTCTGTATCTTTTAACGGCTTCTCTCCTTCGTTTACATTGAACATATTCCTGAATATATTCCTTCTCCCTCCTTCTTTCACTATTTTCAACTTCCCCTTCACTGATTCTGAAAACTTTAAAGGAAAAGAATGAACTAGATGTAAATAGACGCATACCATGCTCACGAATTCTATAAGCATAACTTTTTGCCTTCTTTCCCAATTTCCTCTTCTGCATAATTATAGCAGAATTATCTTGACCTGCAATTAATATCAATGTATAAAAGAGTTAGGAAGAAGAAGAAGAAGAAGAAGAAGAAGAAGAAGAAGAAGAAGAAGAAGAAGAAGAAGAAGACGACATATTGTAGAAATTGTAGATAAATTGTAGAGCAATTGTAGATAAATTGTAGACTGTTTTTTGCAGAAGATTTTGTAGAAGTTTTAGTCGTTTTGGATTTTTGAAAACAGAAAACAATGCATCTACAATTAGAATACAGATAATCTACAATTTATCTACAAAATATCTACAAACTGGATACATTGAATTTTAATATCCCAATTCCCATTTCAATTGTAGATAATTTGTAGATATAGTGAAAATTTTGTAGTCATCCATTTTAGGATGTCAGACATTTTGAAATCAACAATTTCTAATCATAGATTGTAGTCGATTTTGTCGTATAAATGTAGTAACTTTGTAGATAATTTTGAAAACAACATTGCTTTATTCTTTCATTAAACTGATTTGTAGTTTAATTGTAGGCAAATGTAGTAATTTTGTAGATAATACCGTAAAACCATAATTCTATGCAATTTCGAACTATACAAACCTGCACTTGTGTTATCGTTGGTGATTGCCAATTCCATATTGAAATCTCGTACACTTATACATAACGAATATGAACCTAAGTTTTTATTCTCCTTTTTGGTCTCCATATACACACGAACCCCCATATCATTCTAAATTTGTTCGTTTTTTTAGATTTCTAGATTGAGAGAAAAAAAGATGAAGAACAGATATATAATCGCCAATTTGATTTCTGAAAACGACGAAGAACAGAATATAGTAATTTTGAGTTGTTGAATCTCGAAGATTTGAATTCTACAATTTGAATTCAGTTTGTTGAAGCTGTTCGTGGTTGAATCTGTTCGTACTTTTTGAAGCTGTTCGTACTTTTTTTTTTAATTTTTAAATTGTAGTTTAAGAGAAAAATACGCAGATGAGAAATCTCCTTTCCGTTTCAAAAATTGAATTTAATGTAGAATCAATCAATCCCAAGATTCTTTCCTGATTTTTAGCGCGTTTTTAAGGGAATATTCTGCCCTTTTAATACCTAATAAATGAATGGTACAGAAATTATAGTAAAAATGTGGACTAGGCGGGTAATTTAGATACTATGCACATATTTGATAATAAAGTTTCATATATGGTTCCCAAAATGAAATACTCTTGTTAGGGAAATACTCGCAAAAGAAAATCGATAGGGTTTAAAGGGTTTTAAGCAAAATAGAGAGAAAGGAGAAAGGGCAAACAAATGGAGAAGAATACGGGAAGTGAGACGAAGAAGATGAATGGTGGAGGAAATGGAGGAGGAGGGTTCAGAGCAAAATTGGAGCATGTCCTATATAGCGGCGAAAAGAAGCACGTCGTAGCTGGTATCGCCGTCATCAGCGTCGTCTTTGGCGTTCCCTGGTACTTCATGACCCGAGGTTCGTCATTTTTCTTCCCAAATATTTTACATAAGTTTATCCAAGTCTCCCAGTATAGCAACAATTAATTAAGTCTCCATCTCAAACTAATTGCGGTCTAATGTATAAAATCATTAATATCCTATTGTTCCAATCGAGCTGTTTCATTCCACTTCTCGATAGGAAGTTGGTAATTTTTCTGCCTTCCAAATTACCTCCCTTGAATCTGAATCTGAATCTCATTTTTTTGTTACCCTGCTACTGATCTGAGACTACTATAACATGAAAAGTTAAAAAGCGGATCCTCCCATAAGAAGCATCCAATAAAGCTCAGATATTTAACCTGTTGTAGTTTATAATGCATAAATGTCTTTAAGGATTGAAAGATTATTAGTTCTTGTGAGATTAGGTAATCTCATTGATTTTCTCCTCTTATGTGGATTTTGTCCCTTTATTTATATTGTTATTGATCTCGCAGTGTTTGTCTCTTTGTTTTTCTGGTAGACGAAATTAAACTGGCAACAATTAATGCCCTTCTTGCCTGCTTGTTGCAATAAAACAAATGCTGGTATAGCTCACAAAAAGATAGTTGGTATAGCTCTTCATCAAAAGATTGTTGGTATTGATGCACTACCCTCATCCCCAGCTAAAGAACTGCTGTAGAGGTTCCTAGTTAATAAGGTTCTATAGGCCTATGAATTGTGCTGATACAAAAATATTATTTGCTTTTGACTGTCTTTGGATTTTGTCATTACGGGGTTAGGTCAAACCTATTGCTACAAACTAACTTAATAACTGTACACAAGTCGGTAAGGTGGTTTGAGGGACTTTATGAGGTAAGGTGGTTTGACAAGGCTGGAATGCATTCACTCTGAATAAGGTGGAACGAAAGAAACCCTCTCCTTATTATTTAACTGAAATGGAATAAGAAGGCAATCTGCATATAGTAAGAGAAGATTCGAAAGAAATGGATGCTTTTAAAATGAAATTTCTCTTTCGGTTAGTTGTTCTAAATAACTTCATCTCATGAAAAGATTGTTGGCATAGCTCTTTATCAAAAGATTGTTGGTATAGGTGCACTACCCTCATCCCCATCTAAATAATTGCTGTAGAGGTTCCTAGTTAATAAGGTTATGTAGGCCTATGGAGTGTGCTGGTACAACAATATTGTTTGCTTTTGACTGTCTATGGATTTTGTCGTTAAGGGGTTAGGTCAAATCATTTGCTAGAAACTAACTTATAACTGTACACAAGTCGATAACTAAAAGATACTACTCCTCTAAAGATATAAAAGGAAATGGATGTGCCATGTACAAGCTTTATTTGAATCCTAAGGGGTTGTTTGGTTCAATTGTGGGATGGACAAGGATATCCCGTGGGATAAGTTATCCCACCTTATATATGGATAGCTAATACCATCTTTTTGATATAAAATTTATACCAGTATTAGCTAATACCTATAACTAACTATGGGATAAATACAATCCTTAATTTTATTCCGAGATTAGTATCCTTATTCCGGTAACCACACGACCCCTAACAGTAGTTATAAGCATAATGCCATCCAAAATGGTTATCCAATTATGTTTGCCTATTACTCCTATTATGCTAGGTTACAATTTTCATCTATTTGTATGGAGTACACGTAACTGCGATTTCAAATGGTCAATTCAGCTTCTGATACCAACTTTTATGCGACTAATGTTATTGTACATCGTATGTAGGTCTTCGTTTCACTTCTTGGAATGATATTGTAAAAAAAAAAAAAATGCTGGATGTGAGTTTTAGAATATAAAGAAATAGATAAAAAAATAATAAAGCGGTGAAGAATGCCCTATCATGCTGATCCAAATAAGAGCTTTTTGTTACTCGCTTGTTGTATGACCCTTCTTGAGGCTTTCTTACCCTTTCTCCTTTCCTCCTTTTGCTTTTCTTTTTTCCCAATCCTTGTTCTGTTTAGAAAGATAAAAAATCATACTACATTACGAGCTATGGACGATGTGTTTGACCATTTGTTGTATTCCTCTTAACCTTTTTATCTGCTGCGGGAGCATTGTTGGATTAAAGAAGCTATAAAATACATTTGTGCTCCGACGACTCACTGCATCTGTGGATACAAGGAAAGGGTGGAAAACTGATAAATCTTCTTTTTTCCTTTTTCTTTGGAAGGCTCCAAGCAACAATCTCATCAAGATTACCTGGAAAAAGCTGATAAGGCAAGGAGTGCGAGACTCTCTGCTGCTTCATCTTCAGCTAAATAATGGACGCCACAGAAAGAGTTACTTTAATCAAGTTTGCTGTGCCGGTTCCTTCAGGCTTTTGAGTTAGGAGCATGCTATTCTGAGGACATGTTTAAATGCCTCTTTTGGACAAACTTGTGTTATATTGCATACAAAACCAGTCACAACGGAATAACATAGTTTGTGTTCTTTATCTTCATAGACGCTGGAGTTGAACATATTGAAATTCTTTCAATTCTCTTGGACTTGCATTGTGAATCTCCGTTGCTTGTATTGTTGCGGAATGTAGCCTTTCTTGTCACGTTCAGTAATGATTAACACGTGGATTAACTTAAAATGATGAGATTTGCTTCATTTGGTCGTGCCGTATATTACTTTATCTTCTCCGGTTCTTAGGATGTTGTTATTATCCCTATGGTTTCTGTTGATGGTACTGATATATTGTTTCTTTTCGTCTTCTTGAGCCGAGGGTCTATCGGAAACAGCCTCTCTACTCCCCGGGTAGGGGTAAGGTCTGCGTACACATTACCCACTTGTGGGAATTTACTGGGTTATTGTTGTTGTATATTACTTTATCGTTTTGAATGAGCAGAAACAACCTGCTTTGTTTAGATTCAAATCTCAGGACTGTCACATGAGAATTGGCCTGTGGAGGTAGAGCGTTAGCACATTACTAGTTGTTTACTCACAACGTGGACAGAATCATATTTTCTCAGTGTTATGATTTCACCACCGACAATATTGTTGGAAAAGTAGTAGTCGTTTTGGTAGTGTATCCTACCATTCGTCCGTGTCTTTAGCTTGCACTTTAAAGACATTGAACACTTCAAAAATGCCTTCGTTCAAAAATGCTCTTCCAGCAACAACAACAACATACCCAATATAATCTCACAAGTAAAGTCTGAGGAGGATAATGTGTACGCATACTTTACCCCTACCTACGGAAGTAAAGAGGCTGTTTTCGATAGACCCCTCGGCTCAAGAAATGGTGGAGAGGAAGAAAAGGGAAGAAGAAGAAGAAGAAGGAGGGGGAGAAAGACAAGGCTGTTCCAGCAAAGAAACAATTTTTTACATGTTTGCATTTTCACCGTCTGTATCATCATGTATAATTGACTAATGGGTCGTGTTGTTCATAGACTATAGTATGATAAATTAAAGTAATACAGATTCTGATATGGGATAAATACAGGAATTGTCTTGCAATGAATAATACAGATCTGTTATTCTGTATACAGAATATTAAATTTATTAATAGATATGCACGTATAAATTTTTGTTTTATATAAATATATTACATTTAAAATTATTAACATGTATTTCAGTATATATTTGCACAAAATAAATCAGAAGAGATTTTTTTTAATTTACTAAAACAAGGTGTGTCGAGTATCTCTGGATCAAAGGGAAGACCATCCCGCGCATTTCCAATCACGGGACAGCCCATTTACTGTACGTAACCTTATCCTGCATTTCTGCAACCCAGAACCCTACATTTCTTACCGTAGGTAACCTTATCCTGCATTTCTGCAACCCAGAACCCTACATTTCTTACCCTGCATTTCTGCAACCCCATTTCTACAAGAGTAGACAACTTCATCCTTACAGTTCTACGAGAGTCTATTAGGCTGGTAGAATGGTACTTCATATGGTGATGTCTTTTTTATCTTTTTTTTTTTTGAATGTGATGTCTCTGACTAGTTTTTTCGAACCATTAGACCATAACCATTCCCGCCCCTCAACCCCCAGAGAAAAATTGCACAACAGTTTCTTAGATGGCAAGGAGAATTGATGCACAATGTTTGATCATTTGCCATCAACAGCTGTTTTCATTGGTATCATCTCATTGTTGCTACTACAAAGTTGTACTCAGTAATGCCAGTAATTAAAAAAACATCTTTATTTATGAACGAGATGCATATCACATCATCACAGTTAATAAGAACAAATAAGGAGAGAATCCCAACTATGTACATAAGAACTCTCCCCACCTATTCTTGAATTATGTACAGAAACCTCAAACCATTCTTGATTTCATCAAAGATGGGTGGGTTTTTGAATTTTGGATTTTCGACTAATAGATGATTTCCAAATCCAAAGTCATTAAGATCAGATGTAAGGATTAATGTGGGAAGTATAGTCACGAATGCCAGCACCTTCCCATCCCATCCACTCTTCCCACATGTCCCAATCTGGTTCATTCATTCCTCTCATTGATTCATCATTACTGTCATCGTATTCCTCATATATCTCCATCTCTGCTCTTGTTTCACCCCTTAAGTTACTCATCACAACCTGCACCACAAAACACACACCCCATCAAAAAGAGGAGATTTTAAGTGTAGAAAGTCATTAAGGTCACCTAATCTCTGTGCTCCATTTAATGATATAGATACACAGTTCTGATCCAAATTAGACATAGCAGCAATCCTACCATTTAAGGGTAAAAATTGTGCTGGAATTAGCTAATACCCCAACCCAAACATTGGGATAAAATTAATCACAATTATTATCCTTATTCCTATGTACCAAACGACCCCTCAAAGGTTAGTTAATCTCGGACCAATTTAATGATAAAGATATACATTTAACATCCAAATTCCTTATAACAAAAGAGAAAAACCACTTCTACGAGTTCATTACGCAATAAAGATAGTGACATTACATCAGGTAATTGGCAGCTTTCAACTTTAGTGAAAGAGACTTTACTACGTTTGTAAGTTCAATTGGTTAGAAAACCAACAAGTGGAATGATTGATACCAAGTAAAGCCTTTGTTTATGCAAAAAGTCATATTCCATTCAAGCTCTACAAGTTAAGGGTCCCACCACTTTGATGTATTCTCAAGAAAAATTTAGCCACTACAGTAAGGTTAGCTCTTTCATATTCTTTTTCATATTCTTATGTTTTCTACATTAAAGAATCGGAATAAAACACATCAGATAATTCATCCTACTTGACTTCTTAGAAATTAACACACAACGTTATTCACATATTATCAGTATGGCTACCCAAAAGCAGAAATAAAATAAATGAATCAACCTAAGATCTAAGTAATATGCAGGAAAACTTACATCGTATGCTTCATTGATTTGGTGAAATTGAACGCCACAATTGTTTCCTCTGCATACATCCGGGTGATACTGTAATCCAATTAAATACATCATATTAATTAACATTTTATTATAGGCATATAAAGATTGAAAAAAACACCAAAATAGGCAATAACCGGATTAAACTGCAATAAATTCGCAGAAGCAAATTTGCCTCTTTTTCCTTACAAATTTTCAGATTTAAACTAGAAATCCAATAACCGAGCTTAAAAAGTAAACACCATTAAAACAATTAAAGAATGTATTTTCTTTTTCATTGTGGGTTTAAATAAATCATAAAGCAACAATTTAGATGGAAGGATAAAAGGAGAAAGAAATACCTGAAGAGCAAGCTTTCTAAAGGCCTTTCTGACCTCAGATTCAGAGGCACCAGGTTGAATCCTCAACGTCTTGTATGGATCAGCAACGGTAGAGGATACACAAGAAACCCTAAATCCATTTTTGTTATTTTTGGTCTTCTTCTTTGATATGTTCCTCAAACGAAATAAAGATGCAGAAGCGGCACCACAACCCCCAATACCTCCCAACATTCCCATAGCAGTAGCCATTGAAGATTTGAGTGAACAAAAATAAAGAGCTATACCCAACCAAAGATTTAACTTTTAATAATATATATGCCCACAATAGGAACTAGCAATCTTTAAATAGATTACAGAAATATCTAATGTCAATCAATTAACTGCAATAAATTCAAAAGAGGGCTAAAATACAGCGAACCAAAATGCGAATGCGACTATTTAATATCGAATAAATGCTCGTTAAAAATGTCAAAAACTTGAGAAAAGGGCGAATATGAAATGGAGACGTAGATAGTAGAGGGATTTATAATAGAATGGTGTGGTAAATAATTCATATAGGGGGTTGGTGGGGTGGGGGAGGGGGGGGGGGGTCAGATTCTTATCCAGGAACAAAGAGTGGTGATAATGGTGAATATGGAGGTGACGTGTCTGTCTCTTTTTTGGGAGGTGACGTGTCTGTTGTGGAGCGGTTTTAGCTTTATTTGAATGGTTTAGACGTGAGGAGAGAGAGTAGTGAGGCCCATTGGCCCAGTGTTCCCGTTCTTATCCAGACTTTTGACTGTTTGCATATTGGTCTCTTCTTCTCTTTCGTTACACTTCGTTTTTGACTCCTTCCTAATTTTCATTCGTTTAAACGTGTTTTTTTTGACTGAATAATTCTAAATTTGACGCCCCCATAGAGTTAAAGCTGTCTTATCCACTTATTTCAAATACCGCTCTAATTCATTTATCCTAATTTTTCGTCCTATTTTTGTTAATTGCTTTAAAGGTTGTCAAATTTTAAAAATGAAAGAACTTTTCATATGTTTATATATATTTTTTAAATTAAATATTATATGACATATGTTAAATGAGTGAGTCGTAATGGATAGAAAATGTTTACTTTATCCCGATTTATTTGGCACGGTTCTTTTGCTCATCTCACAAAAATTGTCACCTTAAATTTGGAATTAATTTTTAATTCAGATTTTATTTGCTTGGTAAATATTGTGCTAAGTATCATGTGTTTGACCAAAAAGTGTTGGGCTTTTTAGTTAAATCAATTAATGATGAGATGAAGAATAAATCTTAGTTAAACATAATAAATTGGGAAAATCTCACTTTATACCCATTAAATTCAAACTATTTACCCTTAAATACCCATACCAAAACTATTTACTTTCCCTACCTATGCAATAAAAACTATTTACCCGCCCACATTAGAATACTCATACCTCAATAATAGAATTCTGAGAAATAAAACATTTTTCTCAGACTGTGGCTTTTCCATATGTTCTCTAAACATTTCTAATTACAAGATTGCCATTTACAGTACTTTAAATCTAATTCCTAAAAGGAAGAGAATTAGAAACAAAACCTCGGAAATGGAGTGCTCCAAAGTAGGATCGGGATGGGGAATCCTGTCGTATGCTTCATCGAAAACAACTGACACCTTTTACCCAAAGCACATTCAGATTACATTATTTGGTCTCCAATTAAATGTAGCTAATATTATTCTTTGATGTGTAGATTGTACATTTGATGCTAGTTTTTGGAGATTTTTTGTACAAAAATTTAAATCCACCATTGACGGACCTTGAAGTTTGAAACTCATAACTTGGTTTGTTTGAGTTTTTAATTGTTTTGATCCGATCCTGTATGGGTTAGTTTAGAAAGTTGATTGGAGGTTGTAGCTAAAGTTTTAGTCAATTTGGTGGAGATTTTATAGTAAATTTTAGAAATTTGGGTTGAAATATAGTTGAACCAGAGAAGAAGGCGAATTTGTATTGTATACCCAAATAGTATATAAATATACCATTTTAGTATACAATTCATTCCAACTATATACCCTATTAGTATAGCTATATACTATATTGGTATCATATGTTAGTTGAATTATTTTTGGTTGTATTAGCTGCATTTAATTGGTATAATATCTGATTTTCTTTTAATAATAGTAATATAGTACAATATCTTGAAATACCTTATTATATTAATATGTGGTACACTATTTTTTTATTTTTCTCTTTATGCATGTGTGTTATGTAATAGTAGTATAGTCATATAGTTGCCGGGAATTAACTAGTAAAACTGTATACCATATTGGTATAGTTATATACCATATTGGTATCATATGGTAGTTTGAACATTGTTTTGGTTGTTTTAGCTGCATTTTAAGCGAATTCTATTATGAAATTTTTTATATCAACATGAGTTGCAATAATGCTGGAATTTTTGTGTGCCGATGGACATAAATTGTGTGTATTAATAGTTTTTATAGTTATAGGCAATTGTTGGAACGACCCCATACAACTATATACCTTCTTAGTATACGAAATGAGCAAGTTGTTTTGCGAATATTTAGTTTGCAATACGAGCATGTAATTTTCTCATACTTTTATTGTGTCCTTTAATATTTTGGTAGAGTAGTATAGTTGCAGATAGTTGTAGAAATCATATGCTCTGTTGGTATACATATATACCATATTGGTATCACATGGTACTAGAAGTC